GGTCCAAGTGGAACTTTACTGCACCATTATATGTATCGACTCCAAACTATATGTGACAGTAGCAAACTCACGTCCGTGAACGTGGTTGCAGGAAGGGTGATTTTCCTTGGGCCAGATGGTGGGGCTGAACCCTCTCCATGCCTATTCGCCCCCAATCCGTCCCTGCAGGTAGCCCAGCCCCAAGCAGGAAGAAAGTGCCTGGTTGAAGGACTAGGGGTGCAGGTAGTGCCACAGGTGCAGAGCAGATACAGCACCTGCTCTCCTTGAGCCTCGCTGGCCCTTTCAGTCACAGCCCCTTCTCTCTCCCCTCTGCACCTTTACACAGGGATAGGACAGACCTGCATGTAAAGGTGCGGGCGGGGCTTAAAGAAGTGAGAACTTGAGTATGACATTCAGTGCGACGAGGGGCTGCTTCAGCTGACTTCCTGGATTGGGGCAGCTGGGTGCCCCCTCCCCTTCCCCGTCCATGGTGATACTCTCGGCTCCATTGCAAACCTGATTGGCTCACCCGAAGTAGAAGCTGCCACTTTGCACGCTGGCCCAAACGATGTGAGTTTCTGTGACCGTGTTAAGCTGATGGCTGCTGTTTGTGGTGAATGCATTGGACAGCCAGTTGCTGCAAGTAGGGTGCAGCTGCAGGCCGAAGGAAAATGCAGCCGCCATTGAGCTTTGCCAATCATGTGGATTGGCTTGGAATTTCTGTTCAGACTGATGGATTTCAAGCCAGTCCACGTGACTGGCACTGACTGTTTGCAAGTGTGCTCTGTCCAGCAAGAGAGAGATGCCAGAAAAATGGCGTTGTGTGGATGCTTCTTGTGAGAGCCAGTTTGGTGTAGTGGTTAAGTGCGCAGACTCTAATCTGGGAGAACCGGGTTTGATTCCCCACTCCTCCACTTGTACCTGCTGGATGACCTTGGGCAAGCCGTAGTTCTGATAAGAGCTGTTCTTGAAAAAGAGCAGTTTCTGTCAAGAGCTCTCTCAGCCCCACCGACCTCACAGGGTGTCTGTTGTGGGGAGGGGAAGGGGAAGGAGTTTGTAAGCCACTCTGAGACTCTTTTGGGTAGTGAAGGGCGGGGTATAAATCCAATCTCTTCTCTTCTTCTTCCCTCTCTTCTGTTTACCATCTGCACTCCCCACCGGAAATTATGGAGACTGAGAACGCTCCATGGGTGCTCTTTGTGGGTGCCCACAGCTCTAAATGGAAGCCTGGTCATGCGCCTTAAGTCTCTTGTGATTTCTAATGCTAGGAGTCGTCATTCTGATTGGATGCCAAGAAACCTGAGCTCTAGCGGAAGCTCTTAGAGTGGATGATATCACTGGGATGTTCTGTCTTGAGCAAAGGATATGATTTCCCTTGGTTCTGGGTTTGCTTCCTGCAGGCAGATCTCTCGGTTTATTACAAAAGCCATCGTTTTGTCACTTTATTTGGGGGTCAGAAAGAAGAGGAGGAACGTGGGGGAATGGCTTTGTTTTTACAGAGAATCTCAAAACAGCTAGCTGCTTAAAACTGGATGTCTGCTTTGAGTTCTCAGATCCTTTTAAAGTCCACCTCTCCCATCCCCACATGAAAATCGCTTGAAACACCCCCTTTGTTATGACTTCTTCCTCCCATGCCCCTTTTTAGGATCATACATTTTGTCCACTTAAAGGGCCTTTTTTTGCGGTTAAGACGCTGAACTGCAGGCTGTGGAAGGTCAGTAATTCAGCAGTTCGAGACCCAAGTGTGCCGCATGATGGAGTGAGCTCCTGTCTCTAGTTCCAGCTCCTGCCAACCTAGCAGTTCGAAAGCAAGAAATTGCAAGTAGATAAATAGGTACCACTTCAGTGGGAAGGTAACAGCGTTCTGTGCACCTTGGTGTTTAGTCATGCCGGCCACATGACCACAGAAACGTCTTCGGACAGCGCTGTCTCTTCGGCTTTGAAACGGAGATGAGCACCGCAACCCTAGAGTCGGATTCGACTGGCTTTCGAGCAAAGGGAACCTTTACCTTCCCCACAATCCACTTCCTTTCAATTGTTTTGAAATATCGATAGGGGATATGAACCTACCTGAAAACCTCGTTTGCTGTCCTTGACGCAATTGTGGCTTCCTGTTTGTGATGGTGAGATCAGGACGATTTTGTCCTGTTCTGATCCAGCCCCCTGAATCCAGATATGGGAATGACATTTAGGTCTGCTTTCATGGTATTGAAATCTTTGTATTGAAGACACGGGCAGAGTGCCTGTGCTGTTTGCAGCCCTGACTATATTAGGGCAGGAGGCCAGATTTGAGAGCCCCAAGAGAGGCCTGAATCTGGGCCAAATGTCTGACCTTTTCATACAGCAAACAGTGTGGCAGAGCAGGTGTGCACTTGATGCTCAACCAGACTTGACGCTCTGTAGCCTCATCATTGACTTCTGCCAGATCATCGTCTCCCAGAATGGTGGGAGACACTTTTGTGTACCGAGTTCTGTTTGGAACAGGGTAACCGAAAGTGCAGGTGAGCATGGCGGAGAGTTTACCTGGAGCAAATCAGGACTGTTGGCAGAAGAGTCTTGTATTTGGTGAAAGAGAATTTCAGAGTGCTGCAGGCATACTGTTGCAAAGTTTTGAAAAACCAACATTTCCAAATAGGGCTCAGCTTTATGCTGGGTTTAGCGTCGAGCAATAAGAGCTTCCCAAAGTTTGTAACGCACCTCTCTCTCCCTTTGCAGGAAAAACTGGCCAGGCTAATTGCCAGTCTGATGAATTCCGTTGTCTAAATGGCAAGTGCATCCCCAGCTCTTGGAAGTGCAATTCGATGGATGAATGTGGCGACAATTCAGATGAGAAAAACTGCACCATTCCCCCAACTGAACCCCAGTCCAGCATCTGTCCTTTAGGAACATTCCAGTGTAGCATAGCCCATTCCACCAAGTGCTTGTTAAACGAGCTAAAATGTAATACTGTCAAAGACTGCAGCGATGGCTCCGATGAAGAAAACTGCCCCGACCTTTCGTGCGGCAAAAGGCTCAGCAACTTTTATGGGTCTTTCGCTTCCCCAGACTTGTTCCGCTCGGATCACAGCCGGTCAGACCTCCGTTGCACTTGGTACGTGGACACCCAAGATAACCGCCATGTCCTCCTTCAGCTCGATTTGCAGCTTGGGTACAACGACTACGTGAAGGTCTACGACGGTCTAGGGGAGAGAGGCGACAGACTTATGCAGACCCTTTCGTATCACAACAACAGACACTCCGTGAGCTTGGAGTCTTCCAAGGGTCAGCTGACGATAGCATACCATGCCCGCTCAAAGAGCACCGGTCATGGTTTCAACGCAACCTATCAGGTGAAAGGCTACTGCCTGCCTTGGGAGCATCCCTGTGGGAACGACGAGGAGTGCTACACCGACAAACAGCGCTGTGACGGTTGGTGGCACTGCCCCAACGGCAAGGATGAAGAGAGCTGCCCTGCCTGTCAGAAGAACGAATACCCGTGCGAGGGAAACAGCGGGCTGTGCTATTCGTTACTCGATCGGTGTAACAACCAAAAGAACTGTCCCGACGGTTCAGACGAGAAGAACTGCTTCACCTGCCAGCCGGGCAACTTTCATTGCGGCACCAACCTGTGCATCTTTGAAACATGGCGCTGTGACGGCCAAGAAGATTGCCAGGACGGGAGTGACGAGCACAACTGCCTGGTGATCGTGCCCCGGAAGGTCATCACAGCCGCTCTCATCGGGAGCCTGGTCTGCGGGTTGCTCCTGGTGATCGCTTTGGGATGCGCCTTTAAGCTGTACTCCTTACGGACCAGGGAATACAGGTGAAGATCGGGTGTGTGTGTGGGGGGGGGTATTCACTTAGTGCTTGTCAGTTTGGTGTCGTGGTTAAGTGCGCGGACTCTAATCTGGGAGAACCGGGTTTGATTCCCCACTCCTCCACTTGCACCTGGCTGGATGACCTTGGGCAAGCCACAGTTCCGACAAGAGCTGTCCTTGAAAAGGAGCAGTTTCTGTCAGAGCTCTCTCAGCCCAGCCTACCTCACAGGGTGTCTGTTGTGGGGAGGGGAAGGGAAAGGAGATTGTAAACCGCTCTGAGACTCCCTTGAGTAGTGAAGGGCGGGGTATAAATCCAATCTCCTCCTCCTCTTCCTCTTCTTCTTCCCGCCTCGAACACTAGTATTCAGATGGTTACTGCTCTGAACGTGGAGGTTCCCTTTAGTCACCATGGCTAGTAGCCACTTCTTATGCCTTCCTTCCAGAGAACCAGTTTGGTGTAGTGGTTAAGTGTGCGGACTCTAATCTGGGAGAACCGGGTTTGATTCCCCACTCCTCCACTTGCACCTGGCTGGATGACCTTGGGCAAGCCATAATTCTGGCACAGCTGTCCTTGAAAAAGAGCAGTTTCCGTCAGAGCTCTCTCAGCCCAGCCTACCTCACAGGGTGTCTGTTGTGGAGAGGGGGAAGGGGAAGGAGTTTGTAAGCCGCTCTGAGACTCCCTTGGGTAGTGAAAGAGCGGGGTATAAATCCAATCTCTTCTCTTCTCCTAGTCTGTTGTAGCACAATAAAGCAGGCATCTGGGGGTTCCATGAAGACTAACAAACATTTATTCCAGCATAAGTTTTCATAGGGCAGAGGCTGTGGTCACACATACGAAATAATCCACTTTCAGTGCGCTTTCCAACTGGATTTTTACTGTGTGAACTGGCAAAATCCGGTTGGAAAGTACATTGAAAATGGATTATTTAGTGTGTTTCAGAGTTTACTTTACTGGATGCAGTGAAAGCCTTTGCTGAAATAAAATTAGTTAGTCCTCCAGGTTTCTGTTCTGTTTAACTTCTTAATAGGGTTTTTTGGGGCAGGGGTAACATGGGGATCCAAGTGGGTCTGCTCAGCGCCTGGGAATGTCTGTTTCTTTGAGAGTCCTCTGTAGAAGCGACACTTCCCACAGGTAGCTTTTTGTCGCTCTTAAATACTTCTTGACCTTACTCTGTCTGTTTTTCTAAGTATAGCGTAAGCAGGCCCGAGTTTTCAAACTGCCATACTGAGCATTCTAGCGAATAAACAGACGACTTGATTTCCTCTCAAGGGATTGGGCTAGACGGGTTGTTTTTAGCTCTGTAGTGCTGTAGTGCTGTATTGTAGTGCTCTGTAGGGCTGAACTGGAAGTGAAGGGGAAGGTACCAGAAGGAAAGCGGTCCCAAGTAAAGTTGAAGCAGCAGTTGCTCATTTTGATTGTGTAATGACAATGACCCTGCTTTTTTCCTGCTGTATAAATCAGTCAGAATGCCACAAATGATATGATCGCTGAGAGTCAGTTTGGTGTAGTGGTTAAGTGTGCGGACTCTAATCTGGGAGAACCGGGTTTGATTCCCCACTCCTCCACTTGCACCTGCTGATGTGACCTTGGGTCAGTCACAAGCTCTGGCACAGCTGTTCCTGAAAGAGCAGTTTGTGTCAGAGTTCTCTCAGCCCCACCCACCTCACAGGGTGTCTGTTGTGGGGAGGGGAAGGGAATGGAGTTTGTAAGCCGCTCTGAGACTCCAAGTGAAGGGCGGGGTATAAATCCAATCTCTTCTCTTCTCTCCTCTTCTTCTTCTGTAATAAAACATTAGCCATGCAGTTTTGCGTAAGCAAGTGCACAAATAGAGACAGACGGAAACCGATATTCAGTGTGTCAGTCTTACCTTATATCTTTCCCCTCCCCTTCCCCTCTCACTCCTTTTGTTGTTCCAGGGCATTTGAAACCCAGATGACCCGTCTGGAGGCGGAGTTTGTGAGACGTGAAGCTCCACCTTCCTATGGCCAGTTGATTGCACAGGGACTTATTCCGCCAGTGGAAGACTTCCCCGTTTACAATGCATCACAAGTAAAAGAAAAAAATAGCCTCTATAATCACCTACATATACATCACATCAGTAGAATTTGAACTGGAAAATGCTTTTTTTTTTTTTTGGCCCCACTGGCGAAACTGATAGGAGAACTGACAGGTTTCCCTCAGTGGGGCAGACAGGGGCTCGAGGAGGAAGACTCAACCCCTTGTCATTTGGTCATGGCCCCCATCCTAATTGGAACCCCATGCACCCGATGAGTAAGCCTGAAAAAGGCTGGGAGCGGTGCAGACCCGCATCTCTGATTAGTCCTTTGGGAACCGAAGCGTGAATGATGGTGCTGCAGTCAGATTTACTCTGCCTGTGATGATTAATATGTTGATTAGTAAAACATTTGTATCCTGCCATTCCTCGTGGTTCAAGACAGATTACAATAAGAGTTAAAACCACCCTAGCTAAAACCGAAAGATAAAATATGCGTGGAAAGTGCTGTCAAGTCGCAGCCGACATTAGGCGACCCCCTTGGGGTTTTCAAGGCAAGAGACATTCAGAGGTGGTTTTGCCATGGCCTGCCTCTGCATGGTGACCCTGGGCTTCCTTGGCGGTCTCCCATCTAAATACTAGCCAGGGCCGACCCTGCGCAGCTTCTGAGATTGGACTCGCCTGGATCGTCCAGGTCAGGGCAAAGATAAAATAGCAAAACCCCCAAACTCTCCCCCCCCTTAAAAAAGGTGCCTGCCATTGAAAATCCTCCCCCCCAAAAGGCCTGGCAAACTGGCTGGCCTTGCAGTGGTCTCTGAAGATCTCCAAGGAGGGCTCCTTACCTCTTGAGGGACCCGTTCCACAGACCTGGAGGCATGATGGGAAAAGGCCAGGCTCTGGTCGATGCCAGACGGGCCACCCCAAGAGGTGGGGTAGCCAAGAGATGGCTCCCGGATGACTGTACTTGGCACACAGGGACAAGTGGAAGGACACAGTCCTTCATTTCATTCCACTGACTGCAGGCTAACTCCATGTATTTTAGTTGTGCTTTTCCAGAGTATACACTTTGTGCTTTTCAGGGTATATATTTTGCAAATTATGACCTCTGTGCCGGAGAAACACAGTTTTTAATTTTTAGAGGAAAGGTTATTCTTTGCAAGTGGAAGCTCCAGGTGGAAGCTGACGGTTCAGTGGACAGGTGCCATGGAAACCGTTTTATATGAAAGCGAGGGATGTCATCATTCCCACCTCCCACACTTGTTGCAAGGCAGTGGGTTGGTCCTTCCTATTGGTAAGGAGTGAAGCTTGTTTGATTGCACGTTACGCCACCATCATTTGTGCAGGTTGCTAGAGTTCTCAGATATCCTAGCATTCATTCCTCAGAACCGTGAGATGGGGGCGGGGATAAACCAGCGTTGAAAATAGCAGCTCCGGGGCTTTTTTGTTGCGTTTATTTCTGAAAGCGTTAGTCGGGACCCATGGCCATTAATTGATAAAATTCTTGTTTTGAGAAAGAAAAGAGGTGGCTGTGATGCTCCAGGGGCTAGGGGAAACCCACACGTTCCACAAAGTGCCTTGCAAGCCGCATACCGCTGCCCCCACCCCCACCTTCACCCAGGTTTCTGGAGAATGAAGTGGGAAAAGGCAGCGATAGCAGGAAGTGAATTTATATGGTCAGACGTCACACAGGCGACTGAAACATTTCCCTCTCCGCAATA